AAACTAACCCAAGAACCCAACAACAGACAAAACTAACCTCAACGCTCCACCTCCTCATCCCGCGACTGCGGCTCCTCCAAAAGAAATCCACCGCCAGCTCGGTAATCCAACGCCGCGAACTCTCGCAGCTGCTCGCCGAGAACAAGGACGCGAGCGCCCGCATCCGCGTCGAAAATGTCATCGCCACCGACATCGCCGTCGAGGTTATGGAGATGGTGGAGCTGTACTGCGAGCTGATCCTGGCGCGGGCGAACGTGCTGGACCAGAATGCGTTCAGCGAGAAGGGCGTGGAGGCCCGGAATCGGGCGAAGGAGGCGTGGGTGGAGATGAGGCGGAAAGAGCAGGGTTTGGGAGCTGGTTCGGGGTCTACACCTGATGCTGCGGGTGCGAAGAAATCGGGATTCGGATTCGGGGCGCTTTTCGGTGGGGGGTCGAAGAGGGAGGAGGATACGGTGTCCGCGGCGTCGACTTTGGGGCTGCAGAGTGCTGGGGATGCGGCGTATATTGATGCGGCGCTCGACGAGGCCGCGGCGGCGATCTTCTATGCATATCCGCGGTTTCCGTCGGATGTGAGGGAGTTGACCATTCTGAGGGGATTGTTGGCGGATCGGTATGGGAAGGAGTTTATGACGCTGGCGCAGGATGATCGGTTTCCGGAGGCGGATGGGTTGAGGGTGCCGGAGAGGTTGGTGAAGGGGTTGCGGGTGCGGCCTCCGTCGCAGGAGTTGGTGGAGAGTTATTTGAAGGAGATTGCGAGGGCGTATGGGGTTTCGTGGGGAGGCAATGCGGAGGAGCTGGGGGACGCGCCGACGGAGTTTGTGGATGATGATGACGATGCTACTGCTGGGGGTGATTTGCCGGTGACGCCGCGGAAAGAGGGCCGACCAGCTGATGCAGAACGGAGGATGTCTGAGACGGCGGAGTTGAATCGTGCGACGCCGCCCAAGGGCTTGCAGTCTGGAAAGAGTCCGGTCAGTGTTGCGCCGCCGGGACCCCGGTCCGATAACCCGAATCCGCGTGTGAAGGTTCCGGATGGGAATGGGAAGGGGGAGGCCGAGGTGCAACCCAGGAGTCCCTCGAAGACGAGCAAAGGAGGGATACCGGAGTTGGACGAGTTGACCAGACGCTTTGCGGCGCTGAAGAGGTAGTCTCCTCGTTCTATTTTCTTTTTTATCCCTTCTATCTTCCTGTCTGCTCTATATGCTTATGATAATGATATCCCGAACGCACTGTCATGAGAGATTCTATGTATTATGTATCACGATCTATCGAACCACTCCCGCGATTTTCTTTTTGTCATCATGCATCAGAGAAGCAAGCGAGCCTATGTCACAGAATAGAAACGAAAAGGTATCCGAGCAATGAAAGCACCACTTTGAACCGGCCGGCGCAGTGGTAAAGATAACAAGAGAAACAACCGGGCACCAACTATGCATGTGTCCCCATATGTACAGTAAGCTGAGACAATGATGAAGCCAATATGTGACGAGACAAGATATAAGCCGAAGAAAAGCCAAGGAAACCTGAATGCAAATGCGAGGAAAGAATAAACAAATCGGATCAGTGACGATCACGGAAATCGTCCTCCTCTCCGGGGAGGATGATCTCGTGGCCGGATCCCTCGTAGACGAAGATAGCCGCCACGCATCCAAAAACGGACACCAGGCGATCAGCCACCAGGCAAACCCGACCATCCCGATCTCCAGCCGTATCCGTACCATGACCCGGAAAAGATGGGACCAATAGTCCGGAAGGCGGAGGACACCGACTGGCCAATCCCGTGGATGGTGCCCAGCACCGAGGGATGTGGCGAGCAGTTGTTCAGCAAGATGATCGAGGTCGGCAGCGTAAAAGTACGGGCCGTGACTTGCAGGAAAAGGACAACAATGATAGAAAACCAAACCCACGCTCCGTTGGCCTGTCCCGGGGGTGGTGCGCTGGACGGGGCAAGTGCGATATACGGGGCAAAGGCATAAGCCAGGGGGAACAAAGTCAAGAAGTACTGGTAACTCTTGGCCGTTCCCAAGCGGCTGTTGATTGCGGGATACACGGTGAACTGGAGGAGCATGCCGATGACACCCAGAATAGCCGTGGCGAATCCGACGCTCTGGGGCAGCATACCCAGTCCGCCGGTAAAGATGAATGGCAGCCTCTGAGCAGGGGCGGCAGGGTCGTTGGAATCATAACGGGGAGATGACAGGAAGAGCAGCCAGAGGTTGTTGAACGCACTGCATTGGTCAGCAGATGTACGAAGTGAACGCAATATGATCGAACCTACCCCATCTGGAAATCGAAGAAGGCCTGCGCCAAAAGTGTACACAACACGTTCTTCGTCCAAAGTCTGCGGAACGGCAGCGAGCGCTTGTGGCGCAGCGGCTTGGCCGCCTTCTCCTCCAGTTCGTAGCTCTCGGTAGGGTCGCGGTGGTGGCTCAACAGAGGACCATCCTCGTCGTAATCAGCAAAAGGCAGACGCTGGTACAACGGTGACGAAGAGGGAACGACGGCACGGATCCCGCGGGCGAAGATCCTGGCGGTAAAAACACCCAAGCCCGGTTTGCCCTTGCAAGCTTCCAAAGTCTGATCCGAATGTTAGCTTGGTTCATTGTCCGCAAAATGATTAACCGTACCTCCTCCAAGCCCATGCCAACACAGAATGCAGCAAAAGAGAGGAAAACAGCATTGGCCAACATCGGCAATGCATAAGGATAGCGCACGAGCCATTGTACACCATCCGCCCCGCCAAAAGAAGAGTTGGGGCCAAACAACGTCGGATAGCTGCGCACTGGATCGGCGAGCATACCACCCATAACTGAACCCATTAGCCGCTACTCACACACATACACCAAGCACGGGCCAAACTCACCAGGTCCGAACAAAGAGGCAATATTAAATCCAATTGGTAGAATTAGGAACGCCCGAGAATGGTATTTCTTCTCCTTGACGTTCTCCGCAATCATGGTCCGAATAATACCGACTGTACCGTTAATGGCACCGCCGAATGAACGCCAGAACACGGCCTGCGCGAACGACGTAGCAAAAGCGACCCCCAGACACGATACTGCCGTACCCAAAAGACCAACTAGAAGGACAAACTTCCGTCCACCCCATTCGGCATCAGCTACTCGACCCCAGGGAATCGCCGTGGCGAACTGGGCCGCGGTAAAGGCACCCTGGAGGATACCGGCCTGGGTGGACACATCTGCGTCGGAGAGGCTCTCATCAAAGGATTTGAGCTGGTAGAACATGTAAGCCTGCAACGAGGCAATTTGCAAAAAGTCAAATACACGACACAACCCTAACAAGGCCAATTGCTTCTTCCGCGGCAGGGTCATCCAAGTGACCGGCTGGACGCGGCGGCGGGTTAGCGGAGAACTGCTGCGGTTGCATGAAGGAGACCTGGGCGTGGCTCTGTGAACGGTTGCGGGCATGGCCGGATTGCTCGAATGAGGTGTTTCTCAGAGCCATATTCTCGTCGGCGTCGTCGCCGTATCGGTCTGATGAGCCCTCGGAAAGGTCGGCGAGGGAGATATTAGACTCGCCACGACGACGCTGCTGTGAAGAAAAATCTAGCGGAGAGGGTTCGCCTCCGTCGTGACCGGATGTCCAGGAAGTAGCCCGGGTGTGATGGGCATTCCGGTTTTTGGTGTTCGAGTGCGACGAGGTACGTTGGTGTGTCGGCGTCAGCGCGGGGGTGGGCACGGGGGAGGTGCTGGACGTTGAGATAGATCTCAGGCGACTACTTTGTTGTAGCTCAAGCTTTGGCACAGGCATCGAGGGCTATGATAGGGTGCCAAGTGTCGGAGCCTACGTCAAGGAGTGAGACCGTGGGATTTGAGAAGAGGGGCCCAAAATAGTAGTTTCGGTAGTATAATATCGATGTGAAGATAAGCCGGACTATGCCCGCGCATGCGTGTCTATCTTTGCTTGATTGATGGAGATGAACACCTGCAACTAAGCCGAAAAGTAAAACCAAATCCAATCAAAAGAAATGACAACAAATTAACCATCCCATAAAAGAGTGAATGGGAAAGAGGAAGAGAAGTCGCACGATAAGGGAAAACGGAAAACGGCAAAAAAAGAAAAAGACTTGAGGTTGGCGATGTCGTAAAGGAGAAAGATTGAAATCCAATACCATTCGTTACTATACTTTACTGTACGCTGTCGATCGACAACCGCATGGAGATTGCGACGCTCGTCTCCACTGCTTGGCTGATGGATATTGATGGGTTTGGATTTTGCATTATTTATTATGTACGGCTCTATTTTCTATTTTTTTTTTTTTTTTTTTTAATTTTTAA